AGCAAAAAGTGGAAAATTTGACTCCCGAACATTATTAAACAAAAAATCATCAACAACTTAAACAACTCAGACTATAGTCAAATTTATTGGAACTGTGCAACCCGGTGTAGGCTTGTTCAGGTACCTAAGGCCGAAGCCTGCATACCCCAAACTATGCATCCCGGGGAAGGAACGTTAAATCATATATAGGCCTATATATATGTAGTATTTGTTATTGTCATGATGGAATAGACAATAACTGGATATGTTATAATTACCTTGACAACATCATTAGGTTTTACAACTGTGATGACTTTCATGAAGATTCCAATCAGCATATGGATGTTAATAATCACTGTGTTCTCCAACTTCTTGTTAGTGGGCGAATACAGAATGATTCCAACATCATTAAGGTAATTAAGGACATGGATGACGTTATCTTCATTAATACCACAATCAACAGCAATCTTAGTGATCTAAAAAAATAAGGAACATATAAAAAAAAAATAATAAAAAAAACAGACTTAGACTGTCTCAAAATATTACCACTCTAAACCAGTTTAATCATAATTAAATTAATTAGCAAATTCACATTTATTATAATTACAAATACTGTCGCTAAAAAATTTAAATGTTAAAAAAAACTATATAGGTCATCAAAAGTTGCCTTAAATAAAACTTATATTATGACCATAGTCAATTTCAAAAATACCATTTGTGCTAATTTACTTCAAATTGAACTTTTATTATAAGGTTTTTTGCAATTTGAACTTCCCTGTATATCAATTTTCATGCCATGTTTAGATTTTTTTTTTCTTTTATCTTTTTTTTTTTATTTTGATACTTTTGCGTTCTGTTAAATATTCTACTTCTGTTTACATTCTTTTGTTAAGAAAACCGGACTATTTTGAAAAGCAGTACTGCCCTACTAAAAATGCTATCTAGTCGAAAGAAAGAATAAATAAATAAAAATAAATAGTCCTAAGCAGTAATTTAAAGAATCATGATACCTCATTCAAGGACATGTGCATTGTTGTCTTCCCAGCGTCTTGTACCTTAGTTTGAAAGTCAACCCAATTAATGGGAATAGTTTTTGCCATTCCCTTCATGTAACCACCAACATTGGTTTTTAATCGTTCAATCCCTTCATCCATTTTTGCATTGTTAGCTACTGCATACATATTGCGGTCAACATGACTCTCGTACGGTGTGTCTTCGATTTCCTTAAATATCCTTCTGAATTTGGCTTCAATCTTTTAATAGAATTAAATTGAACACTATATCAATTATTCTTAGAAAAGATATACTGCAATTAAAATAAAATAATATTTAGTTTAATGGCTTACCTGTGCCTGCTTCTCAGCATCGCTTCCTTCTAGAAGGTCCTTGTGCGTCCCAATCAGACTAATTGGGGGTGATGCGATCGTGCCATTAATCAACGGTTTCTTGTCGGTGCGATGTAGCACTACGGTGTGTTCGTAAATCGACCTTATCCAGAATATGATCATTTGGAGATTAGTCATCTCAAAGTGTCCCTGAAAATATATAATAGTCACATAATTCAAAATGAAATTAAGACAATATTAATGTAGGATAAACAAATAGTTAAATTTACAAATTAACTGTAAGTGCAAAACAATGCAATTAAGTAGTAAGTTATACTGCATTCCATAAACAATACTGTAAATATAAAATAAAACAATAAAATTTCAATAGGACCTATTAAAAATCATGAATACATTGTAAAAAAATACATCTAAAACCAATATCATCTAGAAACTATGTCAAGCAGGGTTTGTTTCAGAGAATATTAATCCTCAAAAAGTAGTTTAGGCCATATTAATTTATTTTTTTGTCTCAAAGCTCTCCTGTTTCTAAAAATCTGTTGCGGGATGAGATTTTATATTAATTGAAAAAAAAAATTCAATAAAAGTATTATTATGGTTGAATGAAGTGACCACAAACACCATGTATGATGCTACCCAGAAAACAGCACTGATACGAACTGCATTTGAGTAATGTCTTCTTTTTTTTTCCTATGTTGTCTAGACATTATTTAAAAAACTATCTTGTACTAAACATAAAAAAAAAATAAAAAATCGTAATTCACTTTTTTTGCAATCGTATATTAAACAGATTGGATAATACAAAATACTCAGAGGAGGAAAAATACTTCAGGACTAACACTTGTTAGAAGGAAATCCTACAGTGCAAATGTGAGGCAGGTCTACGCCTACACTAAGATTAATTTTTATTAATTTGCTCAATCAATCAAGCAATCAACATAACATTTATTAACTTCCTTTTTTGCAACAGAAAAATATAACAGACAGTGATAAAGTAGTTAATTAATAGTAAAGATATGCGAAAAAGGAGAAGGCAAAGACCCGAAAATATAAGAAAAAAAATCTTGTTTAGGGACTGCCTGGGAAATAATAATAATTTTAAAAAAAGCAAACAGGGATAGAACAGAAAACCAGAAACAAAACAAATCAGAATCATGTTGTATGTGGTAATTTTACCTATTGATTGTACCAGGAAGTTAAAAATATTGTTTGGAGGTTTGAATGGCAAAGTAATAATATATATTAATGCTTGCGGTACACCAAGTAGATAGTTCTGAAAAGAACTGTTGTTGGTTAAGAATTTCTTGACGATCGATTGAGTTGCTTCGATCGTCTTCAGGAGAATAATATTTGCAGATATTCCAAAAAGTGAAATACTTAGTGAGACTTGATGCTGATTGGTTGAAAACTAAACAATAGCTGAGACTACATGTGAAAAGGCTAATACAAAAGCCAAAATTCACAATCTGCGCAAGAGGGTGGGGCACGGCTAGAAAGGTTACATTTTTTTAAATGTTCCTTTTAGGTGAGAATAACACGCGTAATTTACTAATGCACAAGAGCTTTAGACAACAATCAAATTAATATGGTTATTTACTTTATGAATATCTCTTGGTTTTGCAAATTCTTCCAAATCATCCAACAAACTAAACACTACTCCGTAAGATGACCCATCTGTGAGGAAAACCTGAAAATACAAATAGTAAATATGCAAACAGCATATGACTAACACAAAATTCAAACATGAAACATGTTTTCAAGGGTACCCTATCGTGTTACAGTCTGCCACAAGTCATTTAAAATTTTAATATGTAAAAGTTGAAAATTTATTTGCTAAATTGATTTTTAAAAAATATAATAGAATAAAAAAAGATTTGTTCTCATCGACATACAAAATAAAATTTAAAAAAAAAATAATACTTCATAACAATTTAATTTTTTTATTAATATAAATTTGTGTATATATATATA